AGTGAGTGAGTGAGTCTAGTTTTATTCCTCTTTCAGCAATATTTCAGCAATATTCCAGCAATGACATTGTGCAGGACACAAGAAACAGTTTCACAATTGCATTCATTGGTGCAACAAGTGAATACTGCAACAGTATACTTGCCCCCATTACAACGAGACTTATGAGAGTTGCTGCAACCACGTTGCCGCTCCATGCCCCCATTACAACGAGACTTATGAGAGTTGCTGCAACCACGTTGCCACTCCTTGCCCCCATTACAACGAGACTTATGAGAGTTGCTGCAACCACGTTGCCGCTCCATGCCCCCATTACAACGAGACTTATGAGAGTTGCTGCAACCACGTTGCCACTCCTTGCCCCCATTACAACGAGACTTATGGGAGTTGCTGCAACCACGTTGCCACTCCATGCTCCCATTACAACGAGACTTATGAGAGTTGCTGCAACCACGTTGCCGCTCCATGCTCCCATTACAACGAGACTTATGAGAGTTGCTGCATGCTCCCATTACAACGAGACTTATGAGAGTTGCTGCAACCACGTTGCCGCTCCATGCCCCCATTACAACGAGACTTATGAGAGTTGCTGCAACCACGTTGCCACTCCTTGCCCCCATTACAACGAGACTTATGGGAGTTGCTGCAACCACGTTGCCACTCCATGCTCCCATTACAACGAGACTTATGAGAGTTGCTGCAACCACGTTGCCGCTCCATGCTCCCATTACAACGAGACTTATGAGAGTTGCTGCAACCACGTTGCCGCTCCATGCTCCCATTACAACGAGACTTATGGGAGTTGCTGCAACCACGTTGCCACTCCTCGCCCCCATTACAACGAGACTTATGAGAGTTGCTGCAACCACGTTGCGGCTCCATGCTCCCATTACAACGAGACTTATGAGAGTTGCTGCAACCACGTTGCCACTCCTTGCCCCCATTACAACGAGACTTATGAGAGTTGCTGCAACCACTCCACGCCCCTAATACAACTAGACTTATGGGAGTTGCTGCAACCACTCCTTGCCCCTAATACAACTAGACTTATGGGAGTTGTTGCACTAAGGCTTTCATGTAAAACTTTTATTAAATCTTTGATGGGATATAGAAGTTGATAGAACATGAAGACATGCAACTTGTATGAATACCAAGACGTTTCAGCACTACTTCTTGTCCCTTCCTCTGACTGGTTCAGGGACAAAAAGCAGCCCTGAAACATCACGACAAACAATGAAGATGTCATACAAACAGATTTATGTCTTCCTCTTCAAAACTAAGGTTGTGACAAGTAAACATTCACCATCACTGTACAAGAAAACATTCACCACCATTGTACAAGAAAACATTCACCACCATTGTACAAGAAAACATTCACCACCATTGTACAAGAAAACATTCACCATCACTGTACAAGAAAACATTCACCATCACTGTACAAGAAAACATTCACCACCATTGTACAAGAAAACATTCACCACCATTGTGGAATCCTCGGTGAAAGTACCATGAAATAAACACTGTTGTAGCATTAAGCAATGATCAGTACAAACCAATTACCATTGCATACTGCCGTACTAACAAAGACATACCAATGAACACATAAATACCAAGGCTGAAGCTTATGGATATCAACAAGATAATACCAATAAACAGTGCATACGCTTTATAATGAATCTCAAGTACCTTCAACAAAATCATCATTTACGAACCAGTGCCTCGCCAGTCTGTAAATTGTTCCAAGCCAAGGAACAGACACTTCTCTCCACCAGGACAATAAATCACAAGCATTCCTTCGTCATCAAACAATGTCAGTTTCATAATGAAATTTACGACCAGGGACTGGCATTTTATGACCGTGTCATAAAATCATTTAGGCTTGACAGAAAACCTTATGAGACAATTATTGGGACTAAAGCTTGGGAAATGTGGCCAACATGTAGTTGGACTTCTCATAAAGGAAACAACATGTTTTCAGGTATTGATGTGGCCATTATCTTACCATATTACATCTAATAAGTCTCTGTTAGTTAAGTTATGGGCAGAATGCACCTATTAGGCTCACTGAGGGAAAATAAGTATCTGGATAAATTGTCCTTGATTCTGAGGCCTGCAGTGGAGCTAGTTTTTACTTCCTCCAACAAAGATATGATATTGTAGGAGGCGCTATCTGCCTCATTCTTGAAATTCCCATGCTGACATTAGAGGTTTCATAGATACACGTGGTTAAAAGTTAAGCACCCCTTCTTTATTTGGATACATCCCGAACTTCCCTATATCTTTTGGAATTACTACATTTGGCAGATCTCATCTTGATAAATGTCTATGATCCCACTGATTCCTGGTGAGCAGCTGGAACAAGCACACTGATCCTATGTTCCTTCAGAAGTACTGAGGCCTACCACCTCATGCAGAAGCATAGGAAACTGTAGAAAGGGTAGAGTCAAACATGATGATCCATTTCAGTTACTGTATATCAATATGAGTTTGTGAAAAATAAACATGTTTTCAAAAAAAATTACTACAGGCTTGATTTCAAAATTTTACATTGTTTGAGTAGTATATTTCACACATGAACTGCAGTACTTGTGATTTGCCACCATGAAACAACAGCAACAGTACTTCTGAGTTTCATAATGCATCACACTAAATGTCATGATGTTCTCTTCTTACGCAGTACGTTTTACAAGAATATCCATCTGAAGTTAAGTTAATCCCATCACTGACACTTGTTTTAAACCATAAGGATTTTTCTATCTTCTTCTAAGAACAGACATTCTGGACACAAAGCGGGAAATCCTTTCCAAGAATTCTACAAATCTATCACAATCCATATTCAAGGTCAAAGTACTAATAATCACTCACATTTCTCTGAAAGGTTCTTTCAGAATATCTAGAGTACATTCACTTTGTCATTCACAGAATGTCAGGGTATCTTTTGATCAAGGTAATTGAATCAACTGGCTTCATCAATAGACTGTGTTGTCCATGAAGAACTCAACTATCTTCCTGGAGACTAAGGAACATTGTCCAACAGGACCTGAAAAGACGTGCAACTCATGTCATGGACAGAATATTACAAAACAAATTATTTCATTGCTAGTCTTATGCACATCACTGCAGACAAAATCTATCAGAGAGTAGAATTTTCAACTAAAAAAACATAAATTCTGAGGAAGAACTTTGCTTCTGGACTGTTGAAATCTGACTTTAAGATGAGTAAAGATGAAAAATATTGGAAAGAAAGTTATTTTTGATATTAGACTATTTCTTAAACAACATTTAACATTCTACATGAAATACCAGCATGGAAAAGTCACCACAAACAAAGGAGTATACATTTATCTGGAAAAAGTGAAATACTTAGTGGTAAGATCATATTATACAAGATTCTTGTTTCCAACAATTACCACTGAGAATGAGCACTCATAGGAACCTATACAGTTCATTAACTCAAACCATTAAATGAATAACAACCACTACCAAACAGACGAACATTGCACAATAAACAATTGTAAATCATTTCACTGTTAACTACTTTCAGAAGCATAAATGATATCAAGCAGGGATACAACAAAGACTTTTCTTGGAAGTAGAACCAAAGAGGCTAGGAGGTCTCTGCCTGAATATTCAACAGCAATATTGCACAATGGGCTGGTATATATGACTTACTAATGACCCACCACCTGCCAGCTCAGTTTATCCACCCACCTTCATCATATCAGCAACACCTCCATCATTTACCAAATTATTCCTCGTCACTTTTTGCCAGAAATAACACTTTCCATTTGCCCGAAAACACTGAGGAGCCATTACTTCAATATACTGCAGTTGTGGCAGTAATTTTGTTGAAATGCTGACCGGGCACAAAACGACTCCGGTGTGGCTGGTGGTTTCTGGGTTATATTCCAACAATGAATAATTTCTCTTCCTGTTAAACCCAATTGGCCTAACAATATTGATTGGGAGGGTCCCAAGGTAACTACAGCACATACCCAACACGGTGGGAACCATGTTTGGGCCCACCACCATCAATTATTTATAGCCCTGTCTACTAGATCCTATTAGCAATTACTTACCATTTCATTGATACACAATTAAGTACAATGTACCACTATCACATACCTCCTCCCAGCTGAGAACTGCGTCCAATACTCAATATGAGTTCACTCGCCACTTTCTCTATCTAATTGTAATATAATTAAGATATTCTCATAATATTGGAACATTTATGTATTTCTGAGCCAAATGTTATTTGGAATCAATATCTCCATTCTAATGTTATCTCTTGAAATATGTATCATGTGTAAAATGAGAGACCTGGATGGATGCTTGCCTTCTGACAAGGATAGTTAATGCAGCATACATCTTCCTATTTTAATAGTACATCTATTAGATCATGACATGGAAAAGTCGGTATATATATATAGTCATCCTCATCTGAAGAAGGACTGTCCTATGAGGAGAACAGTCCAAACTCACATGGAGTGACAAGATCTTAGCAAGTTCAAAGTTTACATCACATCTGTATATTGAAATCCGATGGTTCTCTAAAACCTAATAGCCTATCCACATACATTTTGTAACAACCCAATGTTTAACCCATCTCAAAGGCCGGCTACTGACATATACAGTTGAACAGATTACAAACTGAATGAATGACACAAATTAATGACCTGCACATTATACGTACCAGTAGTAAAGCTGGATTATAGAGTACTTAAGCCTTGGGAAATGGGAATCTATCAATACTATGAAATCCTCCTTTGAGGGGGCTCCTACGCAGGACCTCCGAACAGATTCTCTACAATAGCGAGTGAAAGAGAGCAAGCACTGTCAATAAGCTTGAGTGATACGGGCGATCCGCGTACCATTGTGGTGCACAACAGCTAGTAATAAGCCTGAATAATTCACCTGTGAGAGAGTGCCGCTATCCACTGCCTCACTCCTCTCTTTCAACAGCAAGCACACGCTTAAACACTGCCTGTACAATAGCTACTCACTGTTGGGAATCGACTCTATCTCCGATCCTTGAATCCTTCGGACGGACAACGACCGGACTAAAGCAGTAAGAGGTCCTGGCTCCAAAGTTATCCCGGATCGAAACAGAGAGGAGTACTGCAATTGGACGAAATGGTTAAGGTCAATATTTGCTGAAGAAAAATCCATATTCAACAACGTTCGGTGAACATTCTCCACATAGGCAGATTCGGCCAGCCGGACCAATGCAGGCCACTGGCCATAGGCAGGCTTGGCTCACGAACGCTGAAAAAACATGGCTCAGCTACCGTGTTTACTTACTTCAGTCAGTCAATTTCATTCCCTATTGATTGAGACTCGACCCCAAGATTTGAATCTCATTGGAGAGCTGGGTAAACGGGCCTCAGCAGATGGTGGGATAAGACTCTCCCACACCATGGCTGTAATTGCTGTGTTTCATGCTGGTCGAAACATTGCCACATCATGTACTCAGATCATAGATCTATAACATATTAATCACTTTTTTTTCTCCACATCATTGACTTGCCACAAAATTGTTTCATATTATGTTTTGTGCACAATATTTGCCAATAGGGTGACCCTGTTCTGGGTTGTGACTCTCATCTTGTAACAAACGCGTTTGCAGCAACACAACTATTGCAGTGACAGAAACTGTGCCTCCAGTCTTTACTGAGATGATAAATATATGACTGCATGCAAAGTTTAGGCCAATTATGTTAGTGAAAGAATTAATTACAAATCAGCAGTGCCTTAGTTTAAATTAGGGTGTTAATAATTCATTGGCAAAGGTCTAGTGGGTTTAGACTTGCTGACTTTGACAGAGCTCATTTGGAACATCATACTTGATATTATGTGACTGAGATTCGATCCCATAAGATTTGAATCTCACTGAATAACTGGGACTCCACACACCAGATCATACAGTTTTCACTGACACCTATAGTCACAGTGTGTTTAGCAATTCACACAAGGCAAGATATCATCTGCCCTGTAAATCCTTCTTCAAAGGAACACACAGTTACACAATTACATGGTCTGAAGATAGCTAATGGGTCTTATATTGACACAGATGTCTGATTTAAGATTAAGAGTATTGTAATTTTTCTAAAATAGGTCATAAAGGGCTATAACTCACCCTGTTAACCAAAGGTCATATAGGGCTGTAACTCACCCCGCCAATGATAGGTCACATAGGGCTATAACTGACTATGTAAATGATAGGTCATAAATGGCTATAAATCCCCCCGTTAATAGTTTGGCACAAAAGTATCATTGGTAAGAATCATTTTTAAAATTATAATTTGACCACATGTGGATAAAAACATTCGTCCATAAGAAAACTTCAAAATTTCTTCACATCAGAGTTCTAATTTGAGAGCAAATGGATAAGAATTTATTCCACTGATGACGTCATATAGATCTAGGACATTATGCAACAAAAGTTACAATGCAGTGACATCACAATTACAAGAAGGTTGCATTCATATTTGACACATCCAATCTGCAACTAGTTGTAAATGAGGAATTAATTTACTGTCTGATAACTAGCACAGTATCTCGGACAATTTGACCTTGCTTCACAGATTCTCTTTCTTTCTTTCTCTGCACTCAGCAATATTCCGGCTATATGATGACGGTCTGTAAATAATCGAGTCTGGACCAGACAATCCAGTGATTGACACCATGAGCATCGATCCACACAATTGGGATCGATGACATGCATCAACCAAGTCAGCGAGCCTGACCACCGGATCCCGTTAGTTGCCTTTTATGGCAAGCATGGGTTGCTGAAGAGCTATTCTACCCCGGATCTTCACGGGTCCATTCATAATGGAACTTTATTACCATCAATACATTCAACTGACATCTACAGTTGCATAGACCCTCCTCTAATATTTGACCTCCTCTATCTGGGCAGCACTACAGAATATATTCCACGCCATTCATCACCATTCAGTGAAACAAACTATTTTTTGAACTATTAAAATGATGGAAGAGAATTAATGTTGTGTAATCATTGTCGTATCAAGTCTTTGAATGGCATTTAGAAATCAAAATAAGGTAAAATGACATTAATACACTTATTTCAACAATGTGCATTCTCAAGTTATCCTGAAACCAACAACAATTGCAGGATATCCTTCAGGGGTCACACTGACTAGTTATGCAAATAGTTTAGAATAGGATGTTAAAAGTGAATCCTATATTTATATTTAATCCTTAAAAGAGATTTTGTAAAAATATTTTCATTAAGGGAAATGAAACTGAAACATACTCAAACAAATCTGAAATGGATCCCATGTGACTAGTGTGCACACAAATATACTTCAACTTGTAGCCTACCTACCTACTTCTTTGTAATACCAAACACTGCAGAAAATCTGCTGTCATTCAATATTTCCAACTTTATTTTAAGCGGTGTTCCGTAAATTCTCTTCATAACAAAAGCATTCAATTCAGGACATCTATAACTGCAAATCCAACCCACATCCTTCTCACATTAAATCATACCTTTGCTAACTGACATTTTACTAATAGATGTTGATACTATTTTCTAATTGTTCTGCCATCTTTTCATGCAAATTTAAATGTTTTTTAATTCAAAAGCAGCACTAAGAGAGCATTTCAACCTCTTAAACTCTCCAACCATCTAAATGATTCAGGAGAAATTTACACGATTTTAAACTGAAAGGGGGCTGTAGGGTGCCCTAGTGGTAAAATTCCCGGGTTCAATTCTCAACATGGGTACAATGCGCGAAGCATGTATCTGGTGGTCCCTGCTGTAAAATTGTTGCAATATTGCTAAATATGGTGTAAAACAATATTTTTCCTTCAGTGATGTCATGATTCACCGGTACATTGTTGCAGCAGAACACTTTGCATGGTACGATACCCGATACACTTAATTTGGCATTGATTCACATTTAACCCATTATATCGATGTTCATTTGATCTCCAATTGATATCAATAGTACAGACTAGCAAGTACCGGTACAAACTATTTTCAAATTCCTCATAAATGTTTTTGGTTGTCTTTTGGATACGAAATTGTCCCGATAACAAGGCTGACCAGCTTTTCCTTGCCGCCTGTCATAATAAAGTATGTAAACTTGTTTGTTTCTAGCTATTTTCTCATACAGAATAGTTGACTTGACTCAGTGTCATGGCGATGGATATTAGTCATTTGTCAGCTGTTCTTCTTTACCTTTATAAGCAAGTCTATGGACACGATTCTCAGTCTAATGACTGGGTTTTCCGCACAAAATGTTGTATATGCAGTATCGAGATACATATCGTATCGTGGCTTCTGTATCAAGATATGTATCATACCGTGTGACGCCTGTATCATGACATCCCTACCTTCACTCACTTACACTGAAAGTAATACCTTTAATTTTCCGAAGTCCAAAAAAATGCAGAACCATATCCCACCATCCCCCAGAGTGAACGCAAACCTGATAACTTCCTTGCCATTTCTTTAAATAAGTTACTCCTATAGCAATATTGATTAAAATGTTAGTAAAATCAATTGAACAATTCAAAGTTGTCTTGTAGTGTGACTGAATTGCAGACAGTGTATTCAACTTGTAGATCAACAATGCTCCCAATAGTTTCCAAGTCTGCCATCTCTAGTCCAGGTCAGTTGGAAATGAAAGTAAACATTCCTATGTACCGTAATACTTTCCTTCATCAGTAGAATACATTCCCACAAAATAAGTCTTTGTACCCAAAGTGCAATTTGGTGCAGGAACACATAATACAATATTTCATTTTGCTTAATTAAACAGTCAATTTTGGAAATAAATGTCGTTCAATACCAAAGCTATGGGTGATCAATGATCTGACAAAATGAGAAGAGCTCACTCAATATTCCTCCAGGCATGGCGGCGGTTGTGCAACAGGGTCTGTGAACAACTAACATGTGCACACGTATCAAATAGGACTCGGATAAAATCTCACCATACTCAACACACTGAGCAACTCCATATCTAAGAGTCTCCTTGGAATTGAAATCGTTTCTGACATAAATGTGGATCGTCGAATAACTGGGGTATAAAAGAATATTTCTCTTACACTGATGTTAATGTAATGGACAGTGGAGGTCTGCCAGGCATCTCAGACTTTTTAAAGAAAAAGTACTTGGGTCAATTTCATAATGAATATTTATGATTTCTAAGTCTCTGTCAAGTGTTGTGACCGTTCTTTTTGTGATGGGATATCTTATTACTGTACATTGAGAACACAGGGAGAGGGGGAAATTGCCCAAAGCATAAAATTACCCAACTGGATGGCAGATCGATCCGTTACGAATTGCCAGTGCAGCCATGGTGTTCAATCAATAATCAAGGGCATTACACTTACATAACTCACGACAAAAGATGTTATTTGCAAGTAGATTATCTGGCTTGCATTCCAAAACTACCACTTCAAGCCCTGTCTGTAGGTAAGTAAATACTCTCGCTATTATTATACTTGACTTGAAAAAATATGAAAATAAAGTTTTACACATTGCTGATAAAAGTACATGAAATACACAACAAGGTGATAGGTGAATTGATAACAAATCAACAATTCTTATCACATGCATTAATGTGTGATAATATATCAAGATGAGTCAGTAACTATGTTTTTACATCAATTTTAGCAAAAATCCAGCAATATGACGATGGGGGACACCAGAAATGGGCTTCACAAAATTGTATGCATGTAGCTAATCAAACACAGACAAGCAATCAAAATTAAGATGAAGGAATTTGTTTTACTTAGAATATATATATCCTTCCTAAACCTCTAGCTACCTGCTGTGGACACATAACATTTTTTCAAATCTTCATCAACCTGCAAACTCATCAATTTTGGATGGTTTCCTTGGAAACCAAACAAAGAAAGCAATCTGTTTGTAGCAGAATCTATACCAGTACTTGACATAGCTTTGCAGCTTTCCAAACTCCTATAAACATTTTTTTATTTTTAAAAGAAAGATTTATTTTCCACTAAATGTTGAAATATCATTAACAGTATTTAACTTGAAGCTAAGACCTTGACATTTTGGTTATTCTGTCAGAAAGGATGGACTAACTGTTGATTTCTCATGTGTCAGTTTCTGAGATCCATGA